AAAAGGTCTATGCAAGATACATTGCTCTACATTCCCAGTGACTAGGAAGAAAAACCTCAAGTCAATTTTTAGTTTGCAGATGGTCAAAGGATTTTTGTATTCCAGCAGGAGTTCAAATCTTCTGTATTTTTTCACCAACTACTACTGGATTTTCTTTTCTGATTTTCTCGGCTGCATCAGCTTTGTAATTGTAAGAGCAATGATGAACATCTGAGGAGCGGTGTACACCACAGTAAACATTTCCACAGCGGCATTCAAACCCTGAAAAGGGATTCAGACAGAAATGTGAGCTGGGTGGCAGGACAAAACACTAAGCTCTTCAGCATGACTTAAAATTAAGTGATATTTAATTTTGTAGAAATGCCAAACAACTGAAGCCAAAGTAGAGATGTAACAGGTATGTACAGTCTTTTTCTCTTGAATTAAGGTCTTATGCTATGGAATTTTGAACTATAGCTTAGGATCAGAATTTAATTTTACATCTTTCTGAGACAGGGTCTCACGGTGTAGTTCATCTGGCCTTATGTGTTACAGAGGCAGCAATCTAGAGAATTATTTCAAATGAAGTTTCAAAAGCTCCACTTCCAAAGTTCACAAGCAGAGCTCCATTTCTGATTCCCATCTACAGATCAAGATTTGTACTAGAGTACGTAAGATCAAGGAGCCTACAGCCACAACTTCCTATTAAAAATGGGGTTGCTAAAACTGACAATGTGGGAATTTTTTAGAATCAAAGACTAATGTAAAATTAAGCACACTGTCAGAGGCAGTCTTAACATTTAGTTTCGAAAGATCAAGTAAACTCCCTGAAAAAACTATTAGTAGCACAGTTTAAAAAACCCTACAAAAAACCAGCACAGCACACCCATCGGCTTTCCTCTGCTCCTCTGATATGTGAATGTACTTTGGGGCAGAATTTAAGAGGACCACATCCACAGTCAGCACCCCTAAGTCTCAGTCTACTCACTCTGTAGTCAAACTACTTGGCCACTCTGAGCCTCAGTTTCTGGAACTGTAATTCAGGAATAAGTTATTATAAGGGTTAAATGAAAAATGCACTAAGTGTTCAACTTTCAGTAAACACATAACAAATGCCTTTAATTCCTTTAATTTTGTAAAAATGTCAAAGAACTGAAGCCAAAATAGAGATGTAACAGGTATGTATAGTCTTTTTCTCTTGAATTAAGGTTTTATGTTATGGAATTTTGGAACTATAGCTTAAGAATCAGTCTTTTTTATGTCTTTCTGAGACAGGGTCTCACTATGTACTTCAGACTGGCCTTAAGCTCACTTTGTACCCCTTGATTTCCTTTACATTTTTTTCACTTCATATAATGAAAGAAAAATTAAACAACAGTAGACTGGACTGTCAGACTGGACAAGAAAATTGCTAAGGCTCAGCTGGTAATCATAAAGTCTGAGAGTTTATGAGATTTAGAAAGATTCTATTTGATATGAAATACGTGTATTTTAAAATGTCAGGCCAGGGTGTAGCTCAGTGACAGAGTGCTTGCCTAGCCCATAATTAAAGGTATCTTATTTAAGAAAACTTATAAGCTAGGCATGGTGGTGTATGCCTATAGTCCCAACTACTAGGGGCTACGCCAGGAGGATTGCAAGTTCAAGGCCAGCCTAGACAATTTAGCAAGATTCTGTCTCAAAATTAAAAAAAGAAAAGTCAGTTTGTGTGGTAGCACATATCTGTAATCCTGTAAGTCTGGGAAGTTGAGACAGGAGGACTATAAATTCAAGCTCAGTCTGTGTAATTCAGGGTGACCCTATTTCAAACAAACAAACAAACAAACAAACAAACAAACAAACAAACAGGTTGGTACAAACAAACAGCTCGATGTGAGAACTGTGGGGCTCAATTTTCAATTCCCAGTGCCAGGAAAGCAATGTGAACGCTGAAGTGTACTGAACAGTAACTCTCAAGGGACAGAAACAAGTTAACTGAAATGAGTAACAGCCGTGCATTATGTTAGAGCACAATTTCACACCATGCGATAGAGGCCCTTACCCGTGAGCCCCACTTTCTTTCTGCACATCAGACAGCGGTTCTTTTTCTGTTTTGGTTTTTCGAGGGACTTGCTTTGCTCTTCAGATGGCTGTTGTGCTGTGTCTGACGCTGAAGCTGATAAAAAGCAAGAAGGTGATAGAGTTTAATTATTCAGTAAGATTTTGATATTGGGAGGTGGCTGTCCCTTCACCCCACCCAACTTATTATTGGTAAGCAGGGAACTTACTTACTAGGATAAACAGATGTTTCTGAGTTACAAAGCTGTTTATAAGGTAATCCCTTTTTAGATAAAGTTTTGTACATGTACGTATATACATACAGGGGAAAACCTAAAATGGATAATTGGCATGTCAACAGTGATTAGAAGACAGGGGCCGGGGAGATGGCTCACGAGAATAAGCACTTGCCTGGCAAGCACAAGGGCCCGAGTTCAATCCCCAGTTCTGCCAAAAAACCCCCCCAAAAACCTATCATTAAAAAAAAGAAAACAAAACAGTGATTAAAAGACAGATTACTGACTTTCTGCCTTTGGTTTAAATTGTACTTTTCAAGTCTTCTTTCGTCAATTTGGCCCTTAAAGATGCACACAAGTACCACTTTGAGTGCTCTAATGAATGTGTAGGAAAATGGCATATGCAAACTTCTTAATTTTTTTTTTTTTTTTTTTTTTGTATTTTAGGGAAGGGTCTACAGGGTGTTCAGGGTCTCACTACTACATTGGACTCATAGTGATCCACCTGTTTACAGCCTCCCAAGAGCTGGGATTCTAGGCATGCACTACCATGCCCAGTCTCAACTGCTGTCTCAGCGAGCCCCAGGGGCGGGACTGGGACCAGCAAGGCAGGCCCAGGATTGAGCCCTAGGCCCTTGCGCCTGCTTGCAGGCACTTTAATCTGCTGAGCTATTTAGCTGGCCTCAAACTTCTTAATATTGATCAGGGTCAGAAGTATATAGCTCTCTTAGGAAATTCTCAGAACCTTTCACAAGAAACACTTAAAATGTTAGGAAAAGATAAACCAATGTAAACAAATTTTAAAATATTACACTTAGAATAATGAGGGTAGCACGTGCTAAAATCAAGACCACATGTACCAAGGTTCAGGAGTAAGGTGCCACTCCTGTCACTGAGGACCACAGCCCTCTGGGGTGCTCTCATCAGGTCAGAGTCCACAATAGGGTCCAGTGACGAGAGAGCCTATTCCAAAACAACCAGAGTCTTGCCACAGGCTGTGCTCTTAATTTTTCCCATGTCCTCACCCTCTAGGCCTCCCAGGAAGTCCCCTAACGCTGCTCTGCAGTGGGAACTGGCCACACACCATCCCACTCACTTTGCGAAACACTCCACAGGCTCTCCTTTCTCCCCAAACTAGGACCTCTTAAAAGGCCAGAAGAAACACCCTCTCCTTTCCTTCTGTCTGCTTCTCAGACAGCCCTCCCTACCGGAGGCCTCTCCTCAATGTGCACTTTCTACTCCACACCCAGCATCAGCCATAGTGCAGTAGGACTATGTCCTCTCCAATGTTTCAAGTTCTTTGATGGCTTCCCATCGCCCCTTCCTTTAGGATCTTCCTCCTCCTCTGTCTAGTGAAGCTCCTCATTCAAGGAGAACCCATGTTTCTGCCAAGACACTCCCTCCTCACTTCAGGGCACCTTCCTCCCTCTTTACTGGCACAGAGGCCCTCCCCCGCCCCACAACGCTCTTTCACTAGTCTAATGCTTGTGTCACTCTGCCTGCTGGGCTTCACCTGGTTCACCTGGCTGCTCTGGGCTTCCCCTCTGAGGGCCAGGAACCTGTCCTCTTCCTCCCTGTTCCCAGTGCCTGTCCTGGTGCCTCTTGCCACTCAACAAAGAAATACCTGAAAAGAGGAACTAAGCTCTGTACCTACCGTCTTTATGAGCCCTACCTCCCCTGCTACATGCTAAGTCCACTGAGGACAGGGAAGATATCCAACTGACTCTCCAGCATACCATGAACCACAGAAAGCAGATACTCAAACATGTGCTTTACAGTAAGTCTCCTGACTAACCAACACTGGAGTTGTGAACTCTCAGATATGACCGGACCTCACATTAGGAACATTCCTGGCTGTGAACGACTCAGGGAAGCAGCGCATGTGTCCGCCAGACACTGCCACAGTGTGCTCCTGTGTGCTCGCTGTACGGTGTGGAGTGTACAGCAGTGCAGTGCTCAGTCAGAGCCCGGACACCTGGAAGCAGGGGAAAAGCAGCGGAGCAAAGGGGACACTGGGAAGCGCAAAGCAATGTACATGGTGTATCTGTCTCAGAGATGTAGAAGACTCTCCAATTTACGAATGAGTCAACTCACGAACATTCTCCGGGAGCAGAACTCACGTGTAAGTGGAGGACCTACTGTGGTGGACTCTGCTTGCTTATGTTAAAGCATGATCTCATATAACACCAGGTGAAGATCACACACAATATGCACAAATGAAAAGGACACTGTGATTGCTCCCCTTGGATACGCTGAAGCTAGATGAAAGCTGTAGTAATATGAACACTGATCTTTCACACAGAATATGACACTTTTTTTTTGGTGGAACTGAGGATTGAACTCAAGCCCTTGCACTTGCCAGGGAAGCGCTTATTCTATTGAGCCATCTCCCCAGCCCCTTTCACACAGAATATGGACACATAAAACCTTTTACTTTTATCTTCAATAAACACATATTCCCAGAATATGAACTTATGAAAGCAAAAGCTCAATGTGGTTTTTTTTTTTCTTATTTTTACTATTTATTTTCTTTAGTGGCCAGCTCAGCCCACCCTGGGGGTGGGGCTGGCACAGCATGTAGTGCCAGGGATTGAACCGTGGGCCCTGCATACTTGCCTAAGCAGGTGCTTTATCCGCCAAACTACCTCGCCGGCCCCTTTTTTTTTTTAATTCTTTAAGACAGATTCTTCCTCTGTAGTTCAGGCTGGCATCAAACTCAGTGATCCTCCTATCTCAGTCTACCAAAAGCTGGGATCACAGGCATGTGCCACCGTTCTGCAATACCTTGTTTGCTGTCATCCTTACCCTAAAACAGTATCAATTAAGGTTTGATGTGTAAAGAACTAAAAAACAGTTTTACCTGCTGTTAAGAGCTCAATCTGTTCTATTTATTGTGTGCTTTATGTGAAGCATTAATTATGTAAGATTTTAACATACATTCAGTATTTCATATATATCACAAGTTTGTATAAATCACAGGGTTTAGTATATATTAAATTTTTCATTTTACTGTATTGGCACGCCAGGGACTGAACCCAGGGCCTTGTGCTTGCCAGGCAGCACTCATGCTGCTATCTCCCCAGCTGCTATCTTAAAATTTACACACATACATATATGCACACACATAAAACTAGCTGAGGGACTGAGACACAAACTTCAGTATCTGGAAATGGGGACAGTGGAATCACATGTGTCTGCTATGTCTACAAATTCTATTATGTCTCTTAACAGAAACATTTCACAATACTGACCCTAAATACCTAAGGCAAATGGATTCTTTTTAACTGAGGCAAATGCTATCCAAAAGCTTGTAAGCCACTCCCCACTTTGGGAACAATAAATCTCAAGTAATCATAAGACTGATAATTCAGTCTTTAAAAGAGCCAAATAACTGCCAAGAGACTGTATCTTTACTAAAGAAAGCTACAACCAAAATAAAATAGCTTCCTTGGAACTAAGTACTTTTTCCTATTTGGAACTGAGAAGTGAACTGAGTGCCTGCTGGTTCATAATTAACAATGGGCAAATCCACTATCCTACGAGTCTATTTAGGAGGCCTTTGTGACAGCATAAAGGCTATGAAATGAGCTGAATTGTACCTGCTGAGTTAATTTTTAATGGGAATCCTGTGTGAATAAAATCTACTGGCCACTGTAGTCGAGCTATTCTAAGGAAGACTGTGCAGGTAGAGCTGGTTTAATCACCCACATGGAGGATCACAGAGGAACAAGGGCCTCTGCTCTAGGTCCTGAAAAAAATGAAAAAGAAAAGAGGAAGGAAGGAAGAGAAGGAGGAGAGGGGGAGGGAGGGGGAGGAAGAGGAAGAGGAAGAGGAGGAGGGCAGAGAAAAGAAACTAGAGGTAGTGTACAGAGAGATGAAATGAAGCACTGCTTCTGTTTGGGGCATATTTACTCATGTGCTGAAGAATAAAGCTGGTGCTATTAGTGGCAAGGCTCAAACATTGTCCTGTAATTTAATACACACATGCTTTCTTCAAAGAGTCCTGCCAAGTCTCTTCATTCCTGGATTAGACTTCAGCATTTTCTTCCTTCCTTCTCTCCTTCCCTTTCTCCACTACCTTCTGTCTTTAACACTGAGGACTAAACCCCAGGCCTCCAGCATGTGAGGCAAGTGCTCTACCACTAAGCTATGCAGCCGGCCAAGAACTAGACCGGGTGCTTTGAGACTGTGACTGCTTCTGCTCACTTCTGTACACAGAGTAAGTACCCCAATAAACACACTGAATCAGTATAGACTTTCACAATGACCCACTAGGATAAAATTCACTTTTCTGGGCCTGGGAGATGGCTTAGTAGAATAAG